CCCTCTGAGGCTTTGCTGAGGTGCTGGGGGGTTTGGGGGGGCTCCCTTGGGTTGTTGGGGCTGACGCCGTGGCTAGGGGCTCTTGGGCAGTGCGTGCTTCCCCTGCAGGAGTTGTTTTAGTCGTGTCTCAGTGAGGCGTGCCATATGTTAAAAATCAGTAATTTTTATTACTGCCTTTTGGGTTTTCTTCCTTAGCACTTCCCCTTCATGCTTTTGAGAGTTTCTTTGTGGCCACAGAGAGCAGGAACTTTAGTTTCCTTATGTCTGTCTGGTTTCTTGTCTTGTTTTTGGAGAGGGGGAGGGTTGCTTTTAACCAAATGCTGAGATTTCCCACGTTAAAAACTTGGGCTGGAGAACTGCAAAAAGCAGTGATGGCTGTAAGGGCTGTAAGGGTTACAGTGTGGTCCTGAGAGATGGTGAGTGACTATGTAAAGACTTTTTAGGTAAAACTACCTGTGCTGGAGAGGCTAGCTGCCCGTATGGCAAGGGGTACAGGACATTTGACTTCATTTTTTTCAGAAGGCAGCCCAGAGCGTAATTATGCTCTGTGAATGTTAATTTTATAATTAACTACCAAAGAGAGAAGCTCAAGTAAAACGCTTACAGCTCTGAGGCTGTTTTTAAGGAAATGGAATTATTTTGGAGGACTGCTAGTTCCAAGTTTTGATTTTCTGAATATCAAGTGTATTTTCTGCAGTGGATTCCTTTCTGAAGATTTTTAAAAGTAATTTGCTGTTTTTACTGGGGTATTTTTTGTTTTTTAATAAGGGGGGGGTCAGGAAAAACTGTAGAATAAGTTGTTAATGAGGGAGTTTCATTGTTCCTTTTATTTATATTACCCCTTACTGTATATTTTAAGTACTGATATTTTTCCATTGATTTAAAATTTGTCAAGTTATTCCTTTGGGCAAACATATAACAATAAAATGCTATCAATAACGTCTTCCTCAAAGATCATTGATCCTCTATAGTTGAAAAGTATGACTTGGCAGATACTTACCTTAAGTGGGTTGGAAGCTTCTCACTTCACTATGGACATTCTAAATTATTCTCTTTCCTGTGCTGGTTTACATGTTGTTTTAAAAGTCTTTTCCTCTGGCAGCCATTCCTTTTCTCTTTTGGAACCGTACTTGCATCAAGGTTAGGTTGGTAGTGACTACCCTTTCTTTTGCTCTCTCCTGTTTAGTTGTGGATAAAGCAGATGGTCTTTCTTTCAGAGCTCATTAAATCTTTAATTCTTTTTCTTTATTTTTTTTTACTTGTTATACTTTCATTTGTTGTTATATCATTCTCTTCATATTCTGCACGCTGCCAAGAGCTATGATCTATGAGTTGCACTTTTTAGCTGCATGGAGCTGAGTCATATTGTCTTGCAGTTCATCTGAGTGCAGAGCCAGCCCGAGTAAGCAGCTTGGTTCCCTGCATCTGTCTGTGTGTGTGTGTTGCATTATTAAGAGAATAGGAAGCTCTGTCAGGAAAGTGGTTTTGAAACAGCCATTTTTCATTGTGTAGGCTGTACTGCTAGCACAGGTATTCTGGGAATTACAGTCCTCAGAGAGTCATATGAAGGAACTTTGGAAGCAGGCCTGCTAGGAGAAAAGGGTGAAAGAGATGCCTGTGCCTTCAGTATCAAGGGTGTTAAAGATGGGTCAGGCTTTTGTGTATTATGTTATGAAAGGACTAGAAGACACAGCATTGCCCTTGTGGTTTCAAGCATGCAGAAAGAGAGTGAAAGGACCAATTTGTAGAAAACAGCTGAGTGGTAAGGCTGAGAGAGGAACAAGCAGCTGCTATGTGTTTGAAGCTCAAGGGGTGTGCTTCTCAGCCGTGGCGAACATAAGGACTTACCTTGCCTGTGTTACCAGCTGGATCTGTGGGGTGCATAAGGGTAAAAGGCCCTCAAAAGGGCAGTGGCTGAAGGCTGTGACCCCCTGGAATATTTTGATGCCGGCCAGTAGCGGTATGTTAACATGGTAGTATCCTGAAGGTGATATGGGAGGACAGTCCCACTGATGAACTTTGAGCACTTTAATAGCCTAAATTAAGAACCTGGTTACCTGTATGTAGGTCCATTAAGAGTTCACAAAACCACCAGAAGGGGTTCAAAGCAGAAACCTAAGTCAGATATGTTGAATCTCTGTGGGAAGGGGAGGGACCTTCTGTTTGGGCTATGCAAAACATGCATAAGTAAGTTTGACTTCCAATTAAGGCCCTGAAGTTATGTACCTACAACTGGAATGCCTCCCCAGGTCTCTCTTCCTCTTAAACCCTCTCCTCTAATATTTGTTTTTGTACTCATTAATATATTAAAGATAATGACAGTTTTGATCTGTTGCTGAGACTTTTAAGGTTTTAAAGGTTAATTAAGTGTTTTAATTACTGTATAAGAGCACTGCAGGATGGAACCCGGGTAAATCAAAGGTGACAAATTTTGCGAATTCTGCGTGATGTGAGACTGATCCTCACCCTAGCTAAGTTCCTAACCAGTCACATAATGGTGTCTGGATGACTGTGCTGTAAGGGTTTGGTGAAATCCTGTAATCAAAGAATGGAGTGAAGGTGTTTGTGACTCAGAATATGATAGAGGAAGGAATCGAGACGAGAGCGAGAAGCCTTGTTTCGAGCTCTGAGATCCCTTTGTGAAATGAGGTTTTCTGACTTGAGTTTTACTGAAAGATAAAAATCATACCACTTCTTGGAAAGCCCAGCTGCCTGATGGAAAGGGGTAAAACAGAGATAGATGAGATTAGAAGTAAGCTAACATTGTTATATCTATCTGATTAACTTTTACTGTCAGTTAACTTTGGTCTGCTGGTGACTCTCATTCCTCTGGAGTGGCTGGACAGTCTAGTAGTAGATGAAAGTTTATGTTGCTGTTCTTGAATGAATTCTGTAAAAGAGCCATTGACGGTAGCTGGAAGCAAGAGAGATGGTTTGGTGGTTTTTTGTTGGTTTTTCTTTTCTTTTTTTCTGTTCACCACCCATTCAAAATATTATTGATCTTCTGCAGTCAGTCAGTGTATGTGGTCTGGAAGCTGTGTTGATTTCTGGTTTTGCTTTAGCCCCATTTAAAGTAACTTTATGCCAAAATATGCTGAAACATAAGAACAATGAAGAGGTCAGATGTAGTATGCATTTATAGCCATGTGGACAACATAAGGTATTGCCCTTATGTATGGTATAATTTTTAAAGGTTAATATAGTATTCAATGTGCTGAGTGAACTGACGCAGCAGCAATGCTTATAAAAGCTTAGGTCAGCTATTTCAAAATTTGAATGTGAAATATCTCTTGCTAGCGATAACGCTTGCAATACCCTGAGTATCCCAGCATCCTTAAACTTTTGAAGTCATCTCTTGATATTTTGACATTTTGGATACGTACCCTATTGTGGAAAGACAGCGCTAGTGCCGCTTTTTTGGGATGTAGGATTCTGCATTGCAGCGGTTTAATGGCTGCAGCTCTGAAAAGGTGACGCTCTCCCCAGCGGGAAGCCACTGGTCAGTGTTTGCAAGGAAGCTGAGGCTCAAAGGGCAGCTAAAACCCCATATTGTTCTGGTGC